CCTTTTGATTCTTATTTTATACTTTTATTACTTATTAATGCTTAAGTAAATTTTGAAATGAATAAAAAAACTAATATTTTTGTTCTATCAATTTTTTTTTTAAGTGTTCAAAAGTTAAACCTGAAAGTATTTAGTGACATTCGCTAAAAAATTCTCTATTAGGTTAAGTGCTACTTTATTATTATAATGGCATGAAGTATAGAAAATATATAAAATTTAATATAACATGATTTATTATTTTATTATAATGTATTGTTGATTATCAATCAATTTTGATTAACTCCAATCATTGATAAACTTACTACCTTATTCATAAAAATAAATAAAATGAAGAAATGTAAGGCACATACTCGCAAGTAATTATTTTAAATTGATGAAAAAATACTTTTCAAAAGTGCCTTTATTCTTCTAATAGTATTCACGTTTTTTTTTTTTTGTAAAATTAAAAATTTGTGAAATTTTTAAAATTTAGTTGCTAGATCAATGAATAAACCCAAATCATATTCATTCATTTTAATTTTTACTATTTAAATTTAGAATGTATTAAAATTGGTTGAACTAAATTACTTTAAACTTTTATTGCTACAGTTACACAGAAAAATGTATTTTTTTGTTTTAACATTGATTTAAATAGTAAACGATTTTACCATTTATAAACCAATACTTAAAAAATCTTTATCAATTTATTATTAAACATATCATTGTTATTAATAATTTTTTTTATTGTTAATTTTAATTATGTAATATCTATATAACAGTGGTACAATTACAAGATATATAGATTGGTAATGAGGTTCCAGGTATGGCAATATTTATTGTAAGAAATTTCTTGGTCGCAACTCTTCTCCCGTCTAGGCTTAAGAATGTTAATAACTTTCTAAATACTGTCCTTAGGACATGTTATCGAGCAATTGATTACTTAAATAAGTCATTTCATATTTAATAAGCTAGTTGAAAATACATGTAACCATTTGAAAAAAGCCAGCATAGTTGTGTTGCAACATACTTAAAATTAACCCTTGGGAATAATTTTTTATTACAATAAAAAAATGTAATCATTAAATTTTTTTTTTTTTGCGTAAATTTTAATAATTCTTTTATTCCTGTAAAAACCAATTAAGAAATGTAACACTAATTAGTTTTCACTTGATTAATAGAATTATTTGCATTAATTATGTTAGAACTTGATATATTTAATCAATATGTTTTAATAACATACATCCTATTTAAAAATACGCCTTTTTTAGACTATCCGGACACTGTAACGTACAATGCGCAGATATGACAGTTAAAAATTACTTATTATAACGTTACATAATTTTTATGATAAAAGAGTAACTTAATTACAAAGTTATATATCTTCATTTCTTTTATAAATATGAAATTTGGTCGAGTTACTTATACAATTAATAATTCTAATGAGACTTCACTCAAGGGCACATTTAGAAATTTATATAGGAAAAGGGGAGGAACATAAAAAAAATGTGTTCTTTTTAAATACGCCACTGATTCTATTATAATTATTTAACTAGATTACAAAATACAAATATAAAAATTAATATTTTATATAATAATGAAACATAATTTAATTGAATAGTATTAAATGAGTCTTGATTATTAACTTTATGCGTATTTTCGAGGAAATTGCTGAGAAAAAACTCCCAAGGAAGATGCACTTAAAAATTTGGTAATTTTTATATTATAAGGTATAGGTAAGGATATTTTATTTTATATTAAATAGGTTATAATTAATTAAGTTATAATTTGAAAATTAATGATAATCAGTTTGAAAATTTATCTATATTAAATGAATAAAACATAAGTTAAGTACATATTTTTATTATATAAACAATAATACTTATTATGTTTGAATTATAAATTAAATAAGTTGATATATTAAGTCATATAAAATTATACTACAAATGATAAATTGAAAATTATGCATAAATTCATACTTGAAATTTCTTGTCAACTTAGCCCAACCAAATTGACCCAACATTAATTATTTACAACGTTTAGGCTTTCGTTCCTAAAAATCTTAATTCAAAATATACACGAAAATAAAGCTTATATTACATGTACAAGTATAATAGGTTATAAAGACTATTTTTTAGAGTGTAATTGAGCAGTGATCATATTTCTAATTGAAACATGTTAGCAAATGCAGTAATATTTAAAAAATAACAAATAAAAGCAATACATAATATTAAAATAAATTACAATCGAAAAAAATAAGTAACCCTATCACCTAGAGCAGAATTAAACACTGATTGTTGTAAGCAAATGATTCAATCGGGTCTAATTGATTATAGCCGAAAAAATCAAATACGTACCTATGGATGATAAAAAGACACATGCAGAAAATAATTACGTGTTTTAGATACATTTTAAAAGGAGTAGTTATCATTTTTATCTTGACTTATCTACCTATTCAAAAATTCTTAGTCGGCCATTGATGTTTACTTTTAATTTTTATTCCAAAAATGAAAATTAGAAACTTGTTCTAACGTGCTTGTAATGTAATGTATAATTTGGTGATACAGAAATTCAGATAAAAGTAAACACAGGAACTCTTGGGAATCTTAATAATTTATGGTAATTAAAATGCCTTACATACTGTAGGAGTGTCGTGTTTCACCCTTCCATCTCAAAACCAAACATATTTTTTTAATGTTTTTTTAATAATCCATGGTTAATTGCTATGGTTGACATATGGTATTTATGCTCCTAAATTTAAGTATTCAAATAATTTAAAATTGTTAAGTGTTATTATGCAATAAGTATTATTTACTACGAATTGTTCATAGCAGTTCTAAATGTCAAAATACAAATTCCCAATCATTTATAGACTTGGCTATTCTAAAGGTAAACTGATAAGCAAGATTTATAAATATTACCTTATCATAACATTTAATGTATACTCAGAAATAGAATGTTACTTTCATTCAACAATGAAAAAAAGATAACAATTGCCCTCGACACACATTATTCTCAATAATCTATATTGTCGTCTAATTATTATAACTATTTTTTGTTGTAAACGTTCATGAACATTGACTATTATTATTTCATTTACTACTATTAATTTCATATTTAATTAAAAACTATCTGTCAATGAATGAGCTGTTCATAACATTGTAATTGTTAAAGTAATTCTACATCAAATAAAATGTTTTATTAATATTAATATTTTTTATTTATACTTTGATATTTGATATAAAATACTGGTAAATAGTGCTGCTAAGATATCAGCATAAATTATTATTGCATTGTGTGTTATCTCATGAATTCCTATAACAAAATTTTAATCTTGCAAATTTTTAACAATGAGGTAGAAGCATAATTTTGATATTTATCAAAAGATTTGTTACATAATCAAGAGATTGATAGTAGTATTTAATAAAGCAACATATATAAGTAATATACGTAAAATATACGCTGCTAAAACATTCAGCGTCTGTTAGTAACGAGTTAAAAAACGTGTAATAAACGCGATTATTTAAGACCGCATTTATATCTGCAATTTTGTATCACAAATATAGATAGCATTGATATACCAAACTATCTTTTATTTTATTATAATATGTATGTAATTATAACAATGAACTTTAAATGATACAAAAAATGAGCTAAAATTCATTTTGAAACTTTTAAAAATTTTCCCTAATTTATACAACTCATTATAATGTAAACAAGGTTCGAAAATTACCTAAAACTGAAGTTGAAAGGAAAGAATCAAAGTTAAATAATAGATAAATAATTTCTTTTTTAATTTTTAAGTCAAAAATTCGATTAGATTTGATTATATTTAACTCAAGCGAAAATTACTAGTGCACGATTGTGTAAACAAGTTGTTTTTTCATTATCTTCAATATTGACATTATTCTTATTATACCAATTGTTTTAATATTAGATACTTTAACACAGATAATGTAATATGTAGCGTTATTCTTATAATTGTTCGTAAGCCCGGATAGCTCAGTCGGTAGAGCATTAGGCTTTTAACCTAAGGGTCCAGGGTTCAAGTCCCTGTCCGGGCGGTCATTTTATGTGTTATTTACAAGCGGACATATTTAAATTTTACATATTTATTATGTACACCAACAAAATATTTTTAAACTTGCGTGTCTATCACAAAATAAGTATGTTCTATAAATATATATGTTTTAACCTAAAGCCATATTTTATATAATCTATGATATTTATTCAAAGAACTTTATTTTATCTAAATATTTTTTTTGGATATCTATTACATTAATCAGGCGTTAAAAAGTAATATAAAAGTAAAATAAAATATTAACAAACAATAAGGATAGCATAAAAATATATCTGATAGACTTAGAGTAGGAGGAGCTAGGCGTTTTAGTCCCTCAGAAATTTAGTAAAATTATATGCATTGTTATCTAAAAATAATTTTTTAGAGGAAGAAAAATCAAATTTAGCTCCCTCGAAAAACTTGACTACCCGACGCCAATGGTCAGGGGAGCATTTTTAAATTAGTGTCCACTTTGGATACCAATTACAATTTTATATCTTTTACACACATTTTTACAAGATTTTAGTATAATTTTACAATATTATAAATAAAATTTGAAAAATAATACATTGTGTACTGTATTATATTGTCATAATATTATAATGACGGAATTATAGAATTATTTAAAGTGTACTTATATACATTTAAGGTTCAAAAACAAAGTTATATTTTATATTGTTAGGTGATAAATAAAAATCAAGTTATCATTTACTGATGTATTTTTTTACGTTGAACCAAAATACGATAACAAATATTGTGCATCTAACTAAAACTGGTTCTAATCAGTATGCGCGTGTGTTCCGCATACATTAAATGTATTCTGTTATTATTTAACAAAATTATGCCTATTCAAGTTAATACAATAGTTGCTTAATATGTATAAAAAGTAATTATACGTTTTAGTTTAGAGTAAATGCAATCGACATGAAAATCATTAACATTTATATAGTTATTTTTTGTACAGTTCTATTAATATTTATGCCAACATCGAATGGAGCGCGAATACTTTCAGTATTGAATATTGGAGCGAAAAGCCACTGGAATTTTTTAAAACACGTACTCAAACCATTAACGGACCACGGGCATCACGTCACAGTTTTTACACCATTCAAAGATAGTAATCGACCAAATTATACAGTAATACAACTGACGAACATAGAACAAGCAGAAGTTCGTAATGGGATAGTTGAGATAGTGGAAGTGTCAAGAAATCCCAAATCAGTCATATCATTTTTAATGAACATAAGTAGATCATGCTGTGACTTGACTTATGAACACGAACAAATGAAGCGTATATTGAGTTCCGGGCAAAACTCTGGTTTCGACGTTTTAATTGTAGAACCTTATTCAACTGAATGTATAAATCACATAGCTTCCGTATTAAAAATACCAATGATATATGTCATACCTACTGCTACCATAAGTCATATGGAACGATCGTTTACAGGGAACATGCTAAATCCAGCTTATGTGGGTCATATTGTTTCATACAATTCAAACCCTTCTCGTACTTATTTTAAACGGTTATCCAACTTTATCTTGTTTGCTTATGTAGAAATGCAACGACTATATCATGAATTTAAATGGAAACTAATGAATAAAAAACAATATTATATTGATAAACGAATAAAGCCATCGATAATATTTCAAAATACACATTTTATTACAGAACCTTCTAGACCATTTGTACAAAATCTTGTACAGATTGGAGGTATTCATTTGAATCCACCGGGGACTATACCAAAAGTAAGTTTGGAATCAATGGTTTTTTTTTAATAACGTTATAACAATAAAATATTAATTTTTTGAAGCTTGCTGTAATACTAATATATGTCAATGGAATCATAGAAACAACAAAAAATTTAGCCTGCGACTATTCTTTAAGATGTTTGATGCAATTTGAAGGATATTTCAAAATGTGTTGATAACTCGCCCTAATCCTTAGTGTTATCTATATTATGTTTATCAAAGCTACTTTTTTCAATTTCAAAGATTACAAAAATAAATGTAATTATTAAACATGCAAAATGTTATTTTTATGAAAAAATCATTATTTATCCAATAAATTGAGGGTAGTATTCTTCATAAATCACATTGTATTTACGACTATATTTTTGTATTTATAAAAAAGTACACATAAATAATTAAAAAACAATTTTGTTTGTCTAATTTTTTCTATTCCTTTTATTTTTAATTTGAAGTAACTCTTGAAAAAAATTACATAAGCATTTTATTCATGTCTGTTTTAAAATTTGTCTTACGATCGATGTTCTCTATGGCGTATTGAAAAAACTTTATTAGACAATAATAATTTGATGCCTTCTTTGAAAGCATTTCAAATTAAATAAAATTTTACATAAATATGTATAAGAATATTTCTAGAGAGAAAATAAAATAAATTAGAACTTTTTTTTCAAAAATACTAAAATCTTGTTAAATAATGGTTTTTTGCTGTTCTTTTCAAGTCTTGTTTTATGCCTACAAACATTTCACATAATTCACTAATAAAAAAAAACGCAACTCTAAATATGCATGAATACAAAATCATATAATTAATATAATTACTGTATGAGGCGGAATAATTAATACATGAAATTTAGATCACATTTTTTTATTTTAGGATATTTTGGAATTTATTGATAACTCTCCCGATGGAGTTATCTATTTTACGTTCGGATCAATAGTTTTCATGTCTTCATTACCCAATCGTATTCAAAAATCTTTTAAAGACGCCCTTTCTCGTGTTCCTCAGCGAATTTTATGGAAGTATGAAGGTGTAATGGATGATAAACCAGACAACGTTATGACAAAAGAATGGTTCCCACAGCAAGATATTCTTTGTAAGTACGGCCAATATTTTATGTTCACATGTTTAATACATGATATTGTTCGAGTTTAGTAATTATTAAAAAAATTGTTTTCGACTATAATTAGTGATATGAGTAAACAAATTCTGTCCCTATGCGAAAAATATACAAGTCTCCTTACCGATTCGGTTGAAATATAAACATTAGAATTCTAGAAAATCAGAAAGCCCTTAATTCAGCTACATTCCCTTTTTTTAAGTATTTACTCTAATCACATCAATAATCATAATCTTTGATATATACATATCGTCGTCTCAATAGAGAAATCATGTAACTCGATATTTCAAAATCATTTAGGATGATGAAAAGAAAAAAATTGTTGAGGTTGAGCCAATCTTTCAATATTTCAGTCAAACCCGACACATTAATTTCAATTATTTTCAGGCAAAACAATTTTTTTATCACTACTCTACAAATTCAACATGATATTTGATATATTAGTTCAATTATCAAACCGATTAAAAAAAAAAAAGTTCGATTTGAATTTTAAAAATATTAAGTTCGACTTTCAATATGAACCCAACTTCTAAGTTCGGTTCGGTTCGAAAATCAAACAGTTGGAACATTAAAAAAAATCTCCCCAGAATATCGAGTTACGTGGTTTTGTCGTGTTGACGACGATATATTTTCCTATTCGTAACGTACGTTATCATATAAATTAAAATTAAATTGAATTTTAAATGAACAAATTATTAGCGCACCCAAAAGTTAAACTATTTATAAGTCATGGGGGCATATCAAGTATTTATGAAGCAGTGGATGCTGGTGTTCCTGTGCTTGGATTCCCATTATTCTATGAACAACCTATAAATATACAAAATCTAGTAGAAGCTGGCATGGCATCATCGTTGGATCTATTGTCCGTTACAGAGGACTCATTTTACGGTGCTGTTATGGAGCTTATAAATAACAAGTCGTTAGTATTGTCAGATTTCTAACTTGACAAAAGTTAACACTAAATTAAATTATTTTAGGTACTCAAAAAATGCTAAAATCGCTTCAAATATATTTAAAGATCGACCAATGTCTCCTGCAAAATCAGTTGTATTTTGGACAGAATATGTTATTCGCCATAACGGAGCACCACATCTAAAATCAAACACACTCAATCTAACTTGGTATCAATATTTTTTGTTGGATGTGATCTCTGTTATAACCATTGGCTTATTTATTATATTGTATATTACCAAGAAATTATTAAGATATTTAGAATGTTTATTTTTAAAAAAATTGTCAATAAGTAAAAAATTATAACTGTGCATATGGGTGACATATAGTTTACAATTATATGTTTTGTTTATATATACAACTTTGTGTCAACTTTATTTTTTAAACTAGTAACATACTTATTTAACTATATAATAAAATAGAAAAATATGAATTGAGAAAATGTCTAACTGATAACAATTTTTGGACCAATATTTCAGACGTTTCAAAAAATTTAAAGTAATGACTTGAGGCGATGAGCTACTGCTATTTTTATCACTAGACAATTTTCGGATTTGCTCTTCCTCTCGCTTAGCTATAAAAATGTTGATCATTTCTGACCAACAGGTCTAAAAGTTGTTATCGGGCAGACATTTTCTTAATTACCTAATTTTTTATTTTATAATCTAATTAATTATGCATGTTGATGTTTAAAAATCTAAAGTTGACACTTTTACAAGGGATGAACAAAAAAAATATTTTATAACCGATAAATAAAAATACATATGTAACTAACAGAGTTTAAAAAAAATTTCATAAAAACATATTATTATTTTAAGAAAAACTGAGTGTCAAGTATTAAAAGGATTACTTTTTTGATTTTTTCATTTGTTTTATTGCCATTCAATGCATTTTACTTCGTCTATTCGTTCCAAAATATCGTTGTATAACAAATGTCAAATCATTAATATCTTTCAACTAACCAAAATCTTCATTAGGTTTTTCCTCGTATTTTTCTATAATAATTCATTATGGTTGATATGTATATGATTATTTTCGTGTTTTGATGTTAAAATTAAGAATTTCCAAATTAATTCTTAGCATAATTTTCAATTTAATTTTTTTGCCGATAAAAACATAAATAGAATATATGTGTAATATACTGTCTCATAGTATGAGAGTAAATTAACGATATTTTCTTACGTTATTATTTTTAATAAATTATAGAGTACATAGGATATACAAGAGCTAATTTTTTTATGTATATCATCAACAAACCTGCAAAGTACTTATGTAAAAATGTTCAAATAGTTTGATTATTTTATTTTACATGTATCATGTACATCATACGTTATACATCATAATGGTGTCAACTTGAAATTTTTAAAAGCAAGACACCTATTTAACTAGCATATGTGTAAGATATGAAATAATTACAAAAGTTTACAACTTTTAGATCGATATTTCAGAAATTATTAACATTTTATATCTATGTGAAGGTAGGAGTGAGGACGATAAACAAATGTAAACAATTCTAACTCGTCAGTATGATATTTTAATACATAAGTTAGTTTTACGCGCAAATAATGTATTTTGAATAAGTAAAATTAAAACTATATTAAAAATATTATTAATATAGTTTTAATTTTACTTAATTAATTAGCCATAAGTGATCAATTTTTATTATATTATTATAAATGTATTTTGATATAAAGTATTGAAAATTCTTATACAAATATAACACTTTATTATTTATTAAATTTTTCACTTATATTTTATGCGTTAAACAATTCCTGTACATGTATGTAAAAACAAGGACATTTTTTTTTAAGAGTAGTGTCAAAAAATAAAATTAGCAACACCCACACCTCATATCCTGCATTTACTTTAAATGTTTTATAACTTCTGAAATACTGGTTTAAAAGTCATTATCGACCATTAATTTTCTTAATAAGATCATTATTTAATATAAAATTAGTTAATTATGAATGTTTCAGTTTGAAAAAATAAATCTGACATCTCTTTTATAATACATAAATATGTGAAAACAAAAAATACTTTTACGATTTAAAGTACAAATATTTTAAATAAAATATTAATCAAGTTTTTTTACATCAGATATTAAATTATATAAGAAGTCTGATAAAATGCCTACGTTTTAATCAAACAAAGATAAAAAATATAGACTGACCCGCATACATAAAAGATAAATCTAAACGGAATACACGTGGCCCTACACTGATAATTTAACATATTATTTCAAGGGAAATAGTTTTTGTTATTAATTTATGATTTATAAATATAATTCATCGTTTTTATAAAACATTATGTACGTGCTATTTTTTTGTCTCATTAACAGAGTTGTGCTTAATTCACTAGCAGATGTGGACATCACGCTAAAGTTTTCACGCCCTTCGAGGATGATAATCGATATAACTTTTATACATATATATATATAGATTTGCCAAAAGTTTAATTAGAACTCTAGTACCTAATTACATTTTGTGAAAACTCAAAAAACCATATCTAATAGCTTCATTTTACATATGTATTAAGAGTATTTAAAACAGGAAAATCTAAATTGCAATATGTGACAATGTACATTACATTTCACTAATTGTCCACTCCATAAATTCAGAGATTAAATTATGTTCTAGACTGATAGATTTTCCAAAAGTTCAAAAAGAATTAGTTCGTTAGAAATTTGTTGAAATAATCCAATCAGTTGGAAAACCAATGATGACTTGACCTATGGATATGAAAAAATGAAACAGATATTAAGTTCCGGTCCAAATTCCGGTTATGATGTTCTTTCTATAGAGCCATTGTCGTCAGAATGTGTTAATTTAATAGCTCCTAAATTAAAAATACCTATGATCTATGCCGTACCAATAACTCCAATAAGTCATATGGAATGGCCACATACGAGAAATATTCCCAATCAAACTTTCAGTAGTCATTTACTTTCTTCTTGTTCAAGCACATCTTTTTATCAACGATTATTGAACAAAATTCAATTCACTTACGTTGAAATTCGACGTCTATACAATGAACCCTTTAGAGTATAATTTTGAAAAGCCATCAATAATATTACAAAAATACACATATAATTACAAAATCATCTAGACCATTCGCGCATAATCTTGTTAAAATAGGAGGAATTCAAATGAATTCCCCTGGAACCTGACAAAAGTCATTTTTAATCAATAAAGTTTTGTAGTAATATTATTACTAATCGGGATGATATTTGTGGAGAAGCTGAGACTTCAGTCCTTTCCTCTCCGAAATTATTGACAGGGTATTTAAAAGTCTGCTTTTAGGATGTGAATTGTAGGAGATCTCAACTGTCGTTTTAAAAATTATTAGTTTCAAGTTTTCCATAGAGAGTTTCTTGTTAAACTGGATTCCTACTATCCGTCTATTCATTGAGTATATTGAGTATTCATAGAGATTATTCATCTAAATACATTGTACATTTTGTAACAGTTTTTACATTTTAAACTGATAAATTTACATTTACTAGATATTAGCGATAATATAAACTATAATTATTGGACGATTATTGTGTCTAACTATTGACTAATTGTTTAATTAATACGTTGTACGAATGAATTTAAAACTATCACCTTATTATTTAATCTGTACACTATTAAATTCTTTTCAATTTGATAGCATTATTTATACAGATTTTTTATTTGAGTAGTTACATACTATACATTATGCATTATTTAAATAATTATTTGAATAATATTAGCTTTTCATTAGATGAATGAATAATTATACTAATAATCTAAGCTATCGATTAATACTCGAGTCATTTTTCTAAGAATCTAAATTAATTCGTTTAGTGAAATAATTCGTTAACGAACGACACATCCCCGCTACATTTCATTTATAATAAATCACTCATTTCATCAAAAAAAAAAAACCAATATTGTTTGTTTTTTTATTGGATTCTTTTAGTTCCATGGTTTTTTCAATTTCCGAATCATGAAATATTTTTTATTCCTCATACAAATTAAGGGTATCAACTTTAAACTGATATCTTTATTAGTTATGAGGGATGAACATTAAAAATATTTCATGATTGATAAAATGAAATAAAAAATTTGATGAAAGAATCCAATAAAATAATTATCAAATTTATTTTAATTTTTGAATTAATTTAGTGGGTCATATAAAATGAATCAGCTTGTATACTTACCATTTATACAACTTCGTTATACTCTTCAGCAAGTCATACACACATAGGTACACTAATTACAAAAATCCTACTTCACCACCACAATAAACTGCACTCAATGTTAATATTTAAGGTGTTATCTAATGTACTTTTTTTAAAAATTATTAGTTCTTGGTAATACTAATAGATAGCGCGCAGTATTTAAATATTCAATTTGATGGAAAAAAGACTACAGATAAAAACTTTTATCTAAGAATTTATTATGATAACTGTAATTATTTAGCTATGACTTAAGACATAGAAGTTGAGTATTTAAATAAAAATAAAATAAGTCTAATTCCTTAAGGGTTTAGGTTCATTTTATTTTGTTTATACGTATTTTTAGATAAATTAATATTTAGTAATATTAATACATTTTTTCCACAACTTATAATACAATTTTGTTTATAATTACAAATTAAGTGAAGTACTTAACTTCTTATTACCTGAGTAATTTATATAAATTTATTAAGATTACTAAATTATGACCCTCACCGAAAAATATTTTTGTGTCCGCGCCTGTTTTACACTAAGTATGACTTTTAAATTAATATATATATATTTCTATTATTAAAAATCAATAAGAAAACGACCATTGAATTACTCAAATAAAAACAAATGACATCAAGTGAATGTTATTATCAAAAATTATTGATGCATATTTTTTAATTTATAATTGATAGTGTCCATAGAAAAAGAAAAACTCATAACTTAAAAACTAACAGATTTCAATAGAATTTTCAGGGTACCTATAATCTCTAGTAATACTAATCTCTAGTGTCTAGTAAAAATTTCAAGTTTTAAATAAAAAAAACGGTAGCGACAATGAGCGTTTTGGCACAATTTTTGAACACTCACGATATGCTAAAAAATTTTTTATTATCTTCGCAAATAATATTCCTAAAATGTTGTAGCTGAGCTCTTCATAAAAATTTTTGTTTTTTGAAAATCATTAAGTAATTTTTTTAGCATTGGCTAATTTTTCAATTTATAGTAATTATATTTATTATAATCATTATATAATAAATATATATTATTATTTTTACTATATTTACTATAAGATTTGCTCGTTAAAACTTACTTTATACTAAATGGATGCTTATCCCATCAATTGGGTAAAAGTACGCTTTTTTTTTGTTTTGATTTAGTTCATTTCTTATTAAATAATATTTTTATCTCACTATTAATACTTAATTTGTATTTTTGAATAGTTCATCTAGCTTAAAAATATAAAAATTGCTTATAACTACCATATACTACAAGTTATATGTGAAAGAAAAAAAAGTGCGCATATTTACCGAAGGTTATTGAAATTCATAAAAACTGAGAAAATGACATGTCTCTAATAACTTAGAAATCAATGTTTAGAAATTAATTTTTTTTATTTTGTTGGTGGGGGGCTCTAAACATTGGCGTAAACAGAAAAAAACTTTTAAAATGATGATGACCAAAAAAAAAAAAAGGTTTTACAATCATTATTAAACGAAATATTACGTCAGATTTCGAAAATAGCTTCGAAAACATAATCGTTAATATCTTGAAACTTTCAAAGGAGTTATCAAAATACCAGAGGGACTGAAGCCCCTCTGAATCTATACCTGGATTCAACACTGGTTTAAAAAAATATTAGCATTTTTATACTAGGTCAGAAATAGTAGTGTTAGTACCCGTTTATATTAAAACTATATGTCAAAATACCTCAGGTTTTTCGAACGTTTTCAGAAAATCAAGTTATGAATATTAGTTATATAAAAACAATGCTTTTCATCTTGTATTAGTTTACTTTGTAGATTCTTAGTTTTCTATTATTTCGGTCGTGGAATAAACTGAATGATTTATATTTTGTTTGAGTAGAGTCAAATATTAATCATTTCTGTGGGTTAAAGTGACACGAACGTGTATTTTTTAGTACGAAAAGGATTAAAATCCGTAATCGAGATTAGCATAAAACGAGACGGCCGCCATGTGATTTGTTTTGAAGTAGTTTCGCGAACAGCGGATTGGACACGGTCTAAAAACAGTTTTTCAAATTCATTATGAGGTTTAATGATAGTAGCTTATAGTGTAGCATAAAGGGGAGACCGTGTGAAGTTTCAACATGTGTAATGATAACTCATACAGGTATAATTATATTATTCGAGTAGTTGATTAAGAACAACGCAACAATTAAAAGTTGCATTTGACCGTTGTAATTGGTACAACTTGCAGTAATAACGATAAAATATTATTGATTTATCAATGTGGGCTGTTTCGAATGAAATACTTTTTCCTGTTGTGATCAGTGACGATGTTCCGTTGGATTGGCAACTCACTAAATCGCGCATTGGATACATAAAATTCCTGTGTGTGTGTGTGTTTCAATGGCAAAGATTTTTAGTAAAAAATCACATTACAC